TCCTTTAAGTGGCTGCTTCCACAAAGCTGTCAGCCTCAGGTTCCTGGAGTTCGAACCTCACAACTCTCCCGCTGGCCAAAAGTGCCCTGAAGGCATTCAAGGAAGGAAAAAAAAAAAAAAAAAGTTGGGAAGTAGCGGATACGGGTTCTTTAATAATTAGATCTTAAGGTCAGAACTTTCTGATTGGTTCTTACCTTTAGGTCTTTATATTCTTGGGGGGGGATAAAGTATGCAGGTAACTACTACACAGGTCAGTGTTAAAAGATTTCAAACAGCATTGAAGACTTGAAAATGGCAAGTTCAGGGACAGCTGGTAGCAGGAGGCCTCGTCTAAGCTGGATGGTGGTGAGAATGGCAAAGAGAAGCTCTCATGGAGAGCACAGAGCAGACGAGAGTGTGCTTGAAAACCCCAAGATCCAAGCTCAGACCAGCTTACCAGAATGGAGATAGGAGAAGGCTGGGTCAGGTGTCAGGAGGTTTAGGAAATGATAGAAGGCCTTGTGTGAAAGGGCTATTTTGCCAAGTAAGGAAATCTGTTGAGTGCTTTGTATGAGGAAAGGATTGATGTAATAGCAGTAATATCAAAGAGCATGCACATAGAAGCACCAAAAGTGAGAACAGATCTTGTCCCAGTCCTTCAAGAAGCTGTGAGAAATGTTTGTAGATAGATTATCTGGTAAGGTAGACCTTAGTGAATGGATTCTTTTTTTTTTTTTTTTTTAATGGATTCTTTTAAATGTGTTTTAAGGTGTTTAGTTGAAATGAACAACTGCCTGGCAATAGCAAGGAAATGGACGTTTTTGTGAGTGCTGACAACCTTTTAAATCTGAATTTTTTTCTTCATTTTATATTCTCATGGGTCTAAGTCCCAGGGTGCTGCACCTCATAATTCTCGGGTTTCCATCTACAGGGAATGCTTCCCTGTGAGATAGACTGTTGGGCAGCCACCCAGTCCCTGATTTTTGCCAGGTGGGGTGGAACTCCCAGCCAACCCGAGCTGTGATCTTTGAAGACTGTGCTGTCCCTGTGGCCAACAGAATTGGAAGTGAGGGACAGGGCTTCCTCATAGCCATGAAGGGACTGAACGGAGGACGGATCAATGTTGGTGAGGACAGGAGGGAGTTGGGTGGGGAGGATATGGGCTGGAGCCAGCAACCACTGTCTCAGCATTCCTCCCCTTTAGCGTCCTGCTCCTTGGGAGCTGCTCATGCCTCTGTCATCCTCACCCGCGACCACCTCAGTGTACGGAAGCAGTTTGGAGCCCCTTTGGCCAGTAACCAGGTAAGGTGTAAGGTGTCTGCATTTGTTTTTCTCTCTTTAGACCTGCTTAGGGACCCACACTATCTAGGAGAGAGAGGCCACAATATCTTGTGGTGCCTGCTACCATCTTGATAAACTTTGTGCTTTGTGTCTGCCAATCTTTTTTAGGAGGCAGTACTGTCAAAGTGCAGGGCAAGCAAAATGGATCTAGAAAGCAGTGAGTTTCCTCAGTAGAGGAGGCAGGAGTCTTTGAGCCGTTGGGTCACTGGGTCCCAAATCACGTGCCTCGTCAAGCTCCTCCAACTTGTCTGGTCTTGTCTTTCCTGTTGCTGCAGTACCTGCAGTTCCAGTTGGCAGATATGGCCACAAGGTTGGTGGCTTCCCGGCTAATGATCCGCACTGCAGCAGTGGCTCTGCAAGAGGAGCGGGAAGATGCAGTATTGTTGTGCTCCATGGCCAAGCTCTTTGCTACAGAGGAATGCTTTGCTGTAAGTGATAAGCCCTCTGGCCCATCTAGCGTAAGCAGGGAGCAGCCCCAGGGCCCAGGCATGTTCAAAGGCATGTCAGCTGTGGAATGTGAAACCCACTTCTGGGTTAGTGCAAGAATTGCCATGTAGCTTATGGACATGAATGAATTCGGGAGGGCCAGGAGTATGGCTCAGCCTTGGGTTCTAGCCCCTAGCACCATACATACAAAAAAGAAAAACTTTAGGGGGAGAAAGACATTGTTTAAAAAATTAATTAGCTTGTGAGATGCCCATATGGGATCTCTCATAGTTTTTATCCATACTTTGTAAAGACACTGACATCTGGTTGTGTTCTAGATGAAACAATACCAGGTGCAGGGGCCAGGGCACTGAGCTGGCAATTGAGACTGGGTGTGGTGGCACACGCCTGTAATCCCAGCTCTTGGGAGGCTGTAAACAGGCGGATCACTATGAGTCTAATCTGGTGGTGAGACCCTGAACACCCTTAGACCCTTCCCTAAAATAAAAAAAAAAAAAAAAAAGAAGAAATACAGATTCCTATTGGAGATGGCTCAGTAGAAAAGAAAGGAATAGATGAGACATTACTTTTAGAAGCTGCACAGCAACCAGTGCCTTAAATTTAATTATGTGGTCAGGGACAAAACTGTTTCCACACAGAGGTGGCATTAAA